GGGCGCCAGGTGAGATTGCCTCTTCCATCGCCCCGGGGATTGTACCCCAGTGACAAAGGAGGTGGAACACACTGTCTCTGAACTGTTTCCCAGCCAATGCACCAAGAAATGTTGCAGGAAGACAGAGAGACCCTGACACCGAGGCTAATTTGAGAAGCAGCGTTTTAGTGGTGCCAGCGTGACTCAGCAGGCTAATGTTTCAAGGTTGAGAAACCCAGAGGAAGAGAAGGAGGGTTTTGTATGTTAGTCTGGGTAAGGGAGGGGGTCGGGTTGTATGGCTATACATGTTTTTTGGAATTTGCAAGGTTGTTTTCAGCAAAACCAGATTTTCTTTTCTTTTCTTTTCTTTTTGAATTGGAATCTCACTCTGTCGCCCAGACTGGAGTGCAGTGGCACGCTCCCGGCCACCGCACCCTCGACCCGCTGGGCTCCGACGATACTTCCACCTCAGTCTTCCAAGTAGCTGGAACTACAGGCACGCACTACCATGCCCAGCTAATTTTTAAAAATTTATTGTAGAGATGAGGTCTCGCCAAGTTGCCCAGGCGGGTCTTGAACCCGTGGACTCAGGCAATTCACTCATCTCAGCCTCCCAAAGCGTGGGATTATAGGCTGAGTCACTGAACCCGGCCTAAACCAGATTTTCAAAGAACAAATTGCTTCCAGGATATACATGACAAGCAGGGGTTATAAACTGATAGCTTTACAAAGAGAGGATGTGGGGGTAAGGTTGTGAATTGATTACTATCTTGCACTTGCAGGAAAGTGGCTTGTGGCTATTTGGTTTTCTTGTGTCCTATGTCTAGCAGGTTTGGAGCCTGAGAGTCGATTTTTAAAAAGGAATAATTTTACCTGTTTCTAGCCCCTCTCTGCCACACTCTTGATTGTCATTGTCCCACTCAGGGGCTACATTTGGGTGCTTTTGCTTGGCCGGCTGACTGTCCAGACATGAAGGGTGCTCCTGTTTTCATATGGCCACTGCAGTCCTCCTGATCATACCCCTTGTTCTTGGTACGAGGGCTAGCCCCCCAAGCCCTTAACATTTCCCCAGGGGACTATCCAGGGTAATGTTAGAATGAGAAATCTTACCTCACCCTTTCTTGTGTTCCCTAGGCTTAGAATTTCCCCCCCATTCTCAGCTAACTTTAAGACTCAGCCCTAATTACGAGGAGTTTCTTGTATTCCCTAGTTGATTTCCATGCCTGAGTTTCCCCATGCACTCAACCCCCCATACGGGAGGTCTCTCACGCACCCTGGGATTCACTTCATCCATCTCCAGCCATTTCTCTTGTGGGAGAATGGAACCTCAGGCTGGGACTCACTTAGTATCGGGGATACGTCTCAGTCACACACACACTCAACCTCTGAGAATGCCCCAACCACCAAAGCAATACTTGCAGTCCAGTTTTTCCTACCTTAGCTTGTGCATGAGGTTCCCTGGCTGCTACAGTGCCTGCTACCCTCCCCCCACTCCCCGCCCCTGTGTCCCTTCTGCTTCCTGAGCAATAGTCTCGGGCTTATCTGCAGTGCCACGAGCAGCCAAGTTGCCCAAGCAGAGTAAGTCACTCGAAATCAGGTGGGACGCATCTCCCCCTCTGCTGGGGCTCCCCTCCCGCAGATGCAGAGTATCCTGGATAAGCTCCTAAATGGTGAGAAACAAACTCAACGGTCCAAAATCAGGATGGACACAGTGACATACAGTGCAGCAGAAGGGAGACTTTAATGATGGTCTTGCGAGATTGGGTGTCTGGTGGGCAGGCACACAGATGCACCCTGGGAATCCCTGAACTGCAGGTCCCTCACCTGCTTCCTCAGAAGTTACAGGCTTTCCCAAACAATGACTACGGACACATCTTGATTGACTTACAGAATCATTTCATTTGCATGTCCTATTGTCCAGTTGGCTTACAGAATCATTCTGATTGGATCCTGCCAAAAGTTTAAACAGGAAGCCCACCAGAGTGAGAAGCCCGTGAAAAGGAAACACAAAGAAGCAAGAAGAGAGTCAACAAAAGAGAAGCACAAAGCATTGAGGCACCATTGTGAGAACCCAAGATAAGTCAGGCTCTGATTCGAAACTGAATCACCATTCTTATTTCTCACATCAGCCCCACTCCCTGGCCCTGCAGATCTACTCTCCAATACAGGGACACACTCATGTCCCTCCATGTTGCCACAATTCCTAGAGAAGGACATGGTGGGATTCCAGTTCTCCTGCAATTGCTGAGCCCATTCCTGAGAGTCCCCTTGTTTTCTCTGCACTTCCAGTAAGTAGCTTCAGGGGAATCCTTGACTTCCCTGCAGACTACATCCAAAGATGTAAACCTCTATTTACTCCCTGTTTTTTTTGAGTTGGAATCTCACTCTCATTACCCAGGCTAGAGTGCAGTGGCACGCTCACAGTCGCAGCAGACTCAACCTGCTGGGCTTAGGCTATCACTTCACCTTAGCCTTCCAAGTAGCCGGAACTACAGATACACACCACCACACCCAGCTAGTTTGTGTGACTCATTGTAGAGATAAGGTCTCACTAAGTTGCCCAGGCTGGTCTTGAACCCCTGGTCTCCAGCAATCCTTTCGGCTCAGCCTCCCAAAGTGCTGGGATTGCAGGCAGAGCCACCATACGGGGTCTACTCCTTTCTTAATAGTCATAGGTTTGAACAATATAGTATCAGTGTAATTGTAGGTCTTGCGATTTGTATAACTTTTGTGTCAGTGTAATCATAAGTCTTGTGAATTACATAACTTTTGCAGTGCCTGATGCCTTAGACCTTGTAAACTTCCCTTATTCTAAATGTCACTATCTCAATGTAAAATGCAGCTGCAACTTAAGCTCTGTACAATGCTCTGCGGGTCACGTGGCTAATGTCTAGGTACCTACAACTCTGGACTATAAAAAGTGGACTGCAAGGCCCAGAGAGTGAGCAGAACCACTTTAGAAAGACCTCAAAGCCGGGCTCGGTGGCTCAGCCTATAACTCCGCGCCTTTGGGAGGCTGAGGTGAGTGGATGGCCTGAGCCTGCGGGTTCGTGACCCGCCTGGGCAGCGAGACCTCATCTCTACAATAAATCAAAAAATCAGCCGGGCGTGGTAGCGCATGCCTGTAATTCCGGCTACTCAGAAGGCTGAAGCGGAAGGATCGCCAGAGCTCAGCGGGTCGAGGCTGTGGTGGCCAGAAGTGGCCACTGCACTCCAGTCTGGGCGACAGAGTGAGACTCCAACTCAAAAAAAAAAGAAAGACCTCGAGTCCAACTCTGCTCCCTGAATTTGAACTCAGAAATCAACTTTCTACCAGTTCCCTGCCCATTTGATTTATTGGCATCAAGGGGAGCAACCGAGCATTACTTGGACCATGACACTCTCCTCCCTGACCTCTGCCGTGGCTATCTGGGATCTTTCCTTGCCACTGACCAGAGGCAATTCCAGGCCACACTTGAGACAGGCCAGCCTGTGCCTCTCGAAGGCAACCTGAGACAGAAAGTGAAAGAGGGTTTGAGGTATTCTGCACTCCGGGAAGAACCAAGGCTTCTGAGCACTCTCTTGAGACCCGGGTGTGAATTCCTGTTCCTGGATTTACTAGTATGTTACCTCAGACAAGGCACTTAGCCAAGCTAGGCTTTGGCTTCTAGGTCGATTAAAGAGACAGAATCTGGCGAATAGCACTGAGCACTGAGGCTGGTTTCAGGCAATGGGGACACAGGCCGGGCCTCTGCTCTGGCAAGCCCGCAGAGCGCTCTAGTTCTGCGTCTGCATTGGTGGAAAGGGAGGAGGTCTAAGGCCCACCACCTGCAGGCAGGCAGGCAGACCATCCCATAACCCCACGCGCACCTCACAGGAATGTGCTTGCTGACCCACAAAGTGCCAGGCGAGGGAATGCCAGCCCAGCCAGCATGAGGTCGTCACAGGCTGAAGCAGAGTGGCAGCTCTGGGGACAGAAAGTGGCTAATGCTCTAAATCTGAACTGGCCACCTCAGGGCCCAGCAAGCACCGTCACCGAGCTTGCCATCAGAGGAGGGAATGCTTTCTTTGGACTTCCAGACGCCGCTGAGCTTGCAAGGCCAGGTCCCCTGTGGGGCATGGGTGTCTTGCTCAGCGGTGCCTCAGTGGGCAGGAAGGAAGGAGACACCCTGTGCTGGGAAGTCTCTGATGGCAGCCGAGGGCTTCACGCCCAGGAGATCTTTCCAGTCGTGCCTGTGAGACTTGTCTCTACCTGCTGGCGAGGGCCGGGCAGCTTGGATGGCAGTAGGATTGGAAATAATTTGGACAGAGCACCTGGATGGGCCTAGGTGCACAGTGGGCTGCGGGGACTGGGGACTGCTCTCTTACCATCAAGAGTTTGGGAGGCGGGCTGGGTAGGCCCTGCTATGAGGCAAAGCTCTTTGAGGGTCCCACTGGCACAAATCTGGCTCAGACAGCCGTGCAGGGGGCAGACCAGATTCTGGCTTATGGACTCAGGGCTAGGCAAGCGCGTCTTGGGACAGCCAAGCCTCAGCATGGGTGGGAGTAAGCCCACAGGGGTTTCGAGGCCAGGCCAGACCAGAGAGAGGGCAGGCTGTGGGTGCAGATGCAGTAGGCTGAGAGCTGGCCGTGGAGGCCGGGCTCTGGGATTGCCCTCCGCTGGTGGCCAGGAGCCTTTGCAGTCTGCTGGCAGCCTCCCAAGAAGAATCTCTGTGACCTCTGTGCCTGGAAGCCTCGTCTCCCTCCCTGCCACAGTGCAAGTCATCCAGCTGCAGGAAGATCTCCATTCTTTCCACGCAGGGGACCCAGAGGAGAGAGACTTGTCTCCCATACAAACAGCCTGGCCTCTGGGTGTCCCCTCAGCTGTCCCTGCCAGGGAGGAGGGAGACCTTCCCATCCTGAGGAGCTGGAAGCACAGCAGAGCACGGGGGTGGTTCTGACAGGTCAGACACAGGAGAGGGAAGCTTCTTTCACTGTTTTTATTGTGTCAGGCCTAGGTCGCAGTGGCCTCAGATGGACAGAAGGTCCAGAGGTGGAGAACACAGAGCTCCGCGGGAGGCTGGCCCCGAGGGACGGGGTTGATTAAGTGGTGCTTGTGGAGGTGCCACAGGCTCATCACAGGCTGCCGAGGAGAAGTGGCAGCAGGAGGAAGGTCTGAGGAGCCAGCAGGACCACGCCGACCCCAAGTGTGCGAGTGGCGTGCGCAGTCAAGGACAGTATGGCCGGAGGGGGGCCCTGTGGAGGAGCCAGGGTAGGGTTGGGCGTGGGGTTCTCCTGCTTCTGCTCGTCGATCCAACCGGTGAAGTTCGTGACCCTGGTGAAGACGCTGGGGCCGACGGGCTTGGAGCACGGCGTGCTCCAACTGGTCAGGCCGATCAGGTTCCAGGCGTCGCCGTACTTGCAGACCAGGGGGCCGCCAGAGTCTCCCTGAGGAAAGAGAGGACGTTGATGGCCGATGGCAGGGACTGAGACAGGAAGGACATGCTTCTCAGGGGGCGGTGGAGGACCCTGTGCTTCTCCAGAACAGAGTGTGGGAAGCATGGTGTAGAACCTCTGCTGTCTACGGGTGGTGCTCGTCAGAGTCACCAGGCAGGTTTTTTTTTGAGTGGGAGGTTCACTGTGTCGCCCAGGCTACAGGGCAGTGGCATGCTCACGGCTACCGCAGCCTCGACCCGCTGGGCTCAGGCGATCCTTCCACCCTAGCCTTCCAAGTAGATGGAACTACAGATGCATGCCACCACACCCAGCTGCTATTTGTGATTTATTGTAGAGATGAGGTCTCCCCAAGGTGCCCAGGCTGGTCTCGAACCCCCGAACTCAAGCAATCCTCTCGCCTCCACCTCCCAAAGTGCTGGGATTGCCGCCTGAGTCACTGCGCCAGCCATCCGGCGGTTTTAAGGTCCATACATGGGGGCACCTCCTGGATCAAAATCTCCGGGACAGAGCCCTGGAGTCCCATGCCACAAAGCTCTCCAGGGCACCCTGGGCAGTCCTCCAGGCTGGCGGTCACAGAGCCGCAAGAATAAACAGAGGGGCTGCCAGAGTCGGACGTCTGGCCCCAGCCCTCCTGGCTCCAGGCGGGAGAAGGCAGCCCCACGGGGAGGCGGGGTGCCGGCCTGGAGGCCGGGCTGTGCCTGGGCCTAAATCTTTAGCCCAGCACTGCCTCCCACCCCTGCCGCTGTGTTTCCACCCCTGCCGCTGTGTTTCTGTTTTGTTCTGCTTCTTCCTTCAGCCCCGAATCCAGATGCTCTTGAGTTATGAAGGTCCCTGGCGCTTCCTCCATTTCTGGGCTGAGCTCCTTGAGAAAGTGCCAGGCTGGGGAATGGGCTGAGAAGGAAGGGGTCCTGCCCGGGCCAGTGGGGGGGAAGTGCCAGGGGCCCCGGGAGAGCGCTGGGGATTGCGAGTGTGGTGGGACCCCCGAGGCAGGAGGTCCCGAGCATCACGAGCGGAACGTTATC